TATGGTAGAAAAATTTTATAGTGTAGATTATTTTAGATAGGCCCTCGATAACCGAGAGAGAAGATTAAAATATTTAATAAAAATTTTTAGTACATAATAAAAATTATGTGCACAACAAAGAGGAAGTTTTAAACAAAATTAGTGTATTTCTTCAATTCGGAGCATTTCTTGAATTAATTAAATCAATGTCCAAATATAATTATTTAAATATTAAAGAAGAAAATAAAAATATTGTGACAGATTTTATTAAAATTTTAGAAGAATGTAATGAAAAACCTGAAGAATGTTATTCTATTAAATTAAATAAAAAATATTTAAATGAAAAAATTGAAGAGAAAATAAAAATAAAAATTGATGAATTTGTTAAAAATTATATTTTTGAACAATTGAAAGTTAAAGTTGGACATGCTAATTAATAATTTTAAAATTTAAAAGATAATTAAATAAATATGTTTATTTAATGTTTACCATAAAGTTTATACATAATTAATTTAATCTATAAAGACTTTTTTAGATTTTATTATAAATAAATATTATTATTATTTATTAAAAAGTCTGCTTTAATTTAAAAAGTCTGCTTTAATTTTCAGCCATTGACAACTTGGTGCTAAAATTAATTTCATCTTTCACACATCGCTTTACTTACTATCCATCTATGTATTCTCCCAAAAATTACCCACTTCCCTCGTGCTAAAAGTGAAATACCTCAAGTATTGTAATTGTTGTGTAGTGGTGTTACTATAGAATAAAAGCCAGTAAAAGCGTCAGTCTAGTTGGATCATAATAGCAGGGCTAGTCACTGATCTCCGTCTGTTCAAGCTCCTTCCACCTTCACCTACATTGTTCATTTCTACATCGGATAAACTGTTATTCTTGTGCACATCAACATGTGACAACCCTCGGACATAACCGGACAACCTCCGGTTGTAACAGTAATAACAAAAATTTTTGCCTATATCGCTGAAAATAATATTTTTGGCTAAGACTGCACACTTTTAATCTTTGGATTGCAGTATTTATCATAGAAACTTTTCAGTGTTTGACAACTTTAAAAAATATAATTTAATTTTTTTTTTAGTTTTTCTTTTTTCAAAAGTATTTTTTAAATAAATAATTTATTTGTTAAAACGGATTAATTTGAGACAATAAATAAAGACAAATATTTTTTCAGGAAAATAAGACTTTGGCTATCTTGTAGCAAATTTCAAAGGCTTTCGAATAGACACAAAATGAAAATTGAACACACCCATAAGGAGATTAGAATTTTTTGGCTTAAAATTTTTTTGGCTAAAACACTTATCCCGCTCATATTTTTCTCCACCGACCCGAAATAATTTGAAACCCCCATATACTGCCTGACACATCCGCCCCTATCGTTCAGGGTGCAACTCTAGTTCACACGAAAATTAAAAAATATACATATTTATTTATTTAAATTTAAATATTATAAAAATTTTATTACATCCTAATAAAATTACCAAATACCAGATTTACCTCGTAATCGAAAATTTTTTTCGTAATCGTAATTCGTAACTCAAAAAATGCCGTAATTCGTAATTACGACGCAACCCTGCCAAATACTTCGAAATTTAAATGTCTAATGCTATTTATTACATAATAAAGCATGTGAATGCCCTTTTACTTAAAGTGCATTTTTATGTTTATTTCAAAATATAGCCTTTATTTTGTCTAAAATATTAACATAAATAAATATAAATTCTCATTATTTTAAAAATTTTTTTAAATTACCAATAAATGTCTCTAAAAAATTATTCTTTAATTATTTATTTAATAATATTTATAATAAATAATTTAACATTTTCGACACCAAATAATTCTGATAATTCTTGGAATAGTGATTATTGTAATTTTTAATTAAAAATTAAAAAAATATTTTTCTTAAAATTTAAATAAATTAAGCTTCAAGTGAAGATTGTAGTTCTTCAAATTCTTCTTCAAATGAAATAAAAAATAAAAAGGTTAGAGGAGGAGGAGGTAAAAGGAAATTGGATGATTTTATTCAGAATAATTCTAGAAAAATACAGTATCAAAAGTAAATTTTTTTGTTTAAATAATTAAAAAAAATTAATTTAGGTATGTCAAAAAGTATGTAGACGAAATCTATGAAATTCAAAACTATTTTTTCCCAAATGAAAATTTTGAAAGAGATTACAAAAAATGTTTAAATCCAAAATCACAAGAAGAAATTATGGAATATTTTGTAAATAAAAATTCGGAAATGGGAGAGGCCTTAATTAATTATAAGAAAAATCCTAACAAAAATATAGATTATATAGAGGTTTTAAATTTAAATAATAAATTAATTACTTTTAAAATTTTGTTAATAACTGAGGGGCTTAATGAAAATCAAAGCCTCGATTGAGTCTTACAATCCATCCTTCAGCGATCTAAGGGTGTATATTTCAAAAGCTCAAAAAAATCGAAACCAAGACTACACCCCAAGACCCAAGAAAAGACCTGAGTTAAGATTCAAACCAAAAGTCTTTAACAGCTATAAGAGTAGGGGACATAATGGAATAAAGCTAATTTTGTAAATTATTAGGAACCAATAGTTCAAGGCTTTTGCGTTCTTTTCTTATTTGGAGGTATAAGAGTAGATAATATAGCAAGACATTTTAAATTGCAATTTGCTAAAGTTTCAACAATACTTCATAAAAGAAAAGTGAATTTAAAGCAAAGGTATTTTAGAATAATCAAGAGGAGGGAGGAAGATGTAGGGGAGGGAGTCCTCCTCATTGAAGGGAGGTCCTCCTCCTTGGGAGGGAGGAGGATGTAGGGGAAAGTAAGCGATTGGTGGGATTAATGAGGTTTGATAAGGTATATCAGTGACTTGGAGGGATATCGAGTTAATTGGTGTGAGTGAGGGGATTAAAGAGAGGGATTAAAGAAGATAAAAAAGGGAATTAAAATCATGGGAGATCATGAGAGACCTTGAGATGAAGCATGGGAGCCTTGAGATGCAGCAACTTAATAATCATTTAAAATTAAAATAATTTGTTTCAATGAAAGATTAAAATAATTTTTATATATGGTGTTTATTTTCAGTCAAGACTTTTCAAAAATTCCTATTAAAGAAATTAAAAAAATATTAATTGAAAAAATGAATGAAAAATGTGGTAAAGATAAATGGGAAATTAATGGAAATATTTACTTTTTTGGACCTTTAGAAGGAAAAAATTTTTATAAAAAATTATTTGGAATGATAAAAGAAATTAAAGAAAAAATTGAAGAAGAAAATATTTTTAATTGTTTAAATTTAATTGAAGAAAATGAAAATTATAAAAAATTAATTAATATACCTGAAAATCCAAAAGAAAAATTTGATTTGTTTTTAGAAAAATATAAAATTATTATTTGGGATTTTCAACGTGAAATGAAGGAAAGCTTTAATTGTATGTTTATTTACAGAGCTTTCCTCCGAACATAGGAAAACTACGGCATTTTAAACGATGATTCCGCTTTCTCTCAGCAATGGGCGGAATAAAAAGCCAAGGACTGAAATTTGAACCTCTATAACTTGTTATTTCTTGGCCAGTTGAAAAAGATCAGTCGGGGCCTATGGTTTTCCGATAACCCAAGAAAATATTAGAGAAATAATGATTGATATAAATAAGGATAGATAGAAAGAGTCTAAGCTCTACACCTAGAGAAACAATCACAATTAGAATTCGCTTTTGTGGGTAGAAAACCTTCCACAATCGGCACGTTATTTACCAAGGGGTGGGCGCATTTCGTTAAATTTTGGCTAATATATGATTTAGAATGGTAATGCGAAACTTGCGGACCGACTTTTGCGGACCGACTTTGTTTAGGTTTTTGTTTTTCTATCGTCCTCTTGCGCCCACCCCTGATTTACGTCACTTTATGATGTAAATATAATTTCAAGTTTTGCGACCAAGACAAAGATTAACAAGTGCTTCCGGCATTGAGTTATGGAAATAACCCCTATCGGTTACATAAGCCAGATAATTTAGAAAAAGGCAATGGTTGTTTCCACAGTTGAAGCAAAATTCAACTAAATGAAGCAATTCTGCATATCTTTTAGCACCCGGAAATGGTCCATAGCGATTCTGAAATATGTAGAATATTTTAAAAAATTAAATGCCGAGTCAGACTTTATTGGCAAGGAATTGGATAAAAAATGTTCGCCTTGTAGTGAATGATTTTCTTTAGAACTTATACATATACATATGTAGGTGTTGTGTATGGGCGTTAGCCGATAAAGTGTTTAGTATAAAAGCCAGTGAAATCGTCAGTCTAGTCGGATCATACTAGCGGGGCTAGTCACTGATCTCCTTCGTCTGTCCCATTCCCTTCGCCTACACATTATTCATTTCTACGTGTGATAAAGTGTTATTGTTGTGCTCGTAGACTTTAGTTAAACCTCGGACACCTCGGGTCGTAACAGTAGGGATATTCGGCCTTTATGAGTGTAAGGGCGCAAACATTTTTTATCCCCTCCTCAGAATGGGCAAGGGCACCACTATGTTATTATACCCCCACAAGTCCTCAAACGTTAAGAATGAAAGACTTCAATACATATTCACCCTAGTATTTTTAAAATAATTTAAAACACCTGTAACATTTTCATCAATATATCAGAATATTTCTCTGCCTCAGTCAGTAATAAATGTCGGCCATACTGACTTAGGCCAGTTGTGGCAAAATGTGAAGAAATTATAGCGCGAAGGAGAACAAATTCTTCTTTGTTTAATTGTATTGAGTTGAATCGTAAAATACAATCGTCAAATAATTTTTTGAGAAATCCGTTTATCCTAATTCAAAATGAAGGTTAGAACAAAAAATAAAATTTACGTCATGTCTTCCTTGTAAATATTTGCACTGAAAATATTTTTAATTGGAAATCCATTCGGCAAAACAACAGTTTCTGATGATTTTCTACTACAATAATATCCCAAATTAAGTGTTCCAATCGCCATTATGATTGTTGTGATTAGACAAATCTTTATAAAAAACAATTAAGTATAAACCGGGACCATCTTGTTAACTTGGGTAATTATTGTCTCTACCTTTCGCTTAAGGGGGATAATTAACTGAGAGAGGGTAATTATTCGAGTATTTACGGTAGGTAAATCTCGGGGTCTGGGTTTTCCGGAATAGAAACTTTCGGGGACGAGATCAACTAAGTTATTCATCACCTTGTCAGATAAATCCAATTTATCGAAAAAAGGCATAGTTCTTGCAGTATCAACAGAAATAAGCAACATATCCGTCATAGGTTTAGGCAGAATAGAAAATACACGAAATCCATTAATGAGAGGAAGTCCAGGTTCTGGATATTTTTGCAATCCGAACTTTAATTTTATAAAAAAAATATGACTTGTTTTTAAATTTAAACCATGTGTTTCATAGCAATTAAATTTTCTTTACGCTCAAGCAATGAAGCAAGAGAATTATACGAAGAATTGTAGTGGCATTCATCAATCCCTGAATCTCTAGTACGACAAGCATTTTGCTCGACAGTTAGAAGATAATCAAGAAATTGTTTATTTTGAGCAGCGATTAATGATTTTTGCTAGAATATTATAAAAATCAGAAATTCGAAGTTATTCAAAATCGAAATAGGAGCAATCCAACTAAATGGTCCAACTAAATGGATTGCTCCAAAAGATGGGCTTAGATGGTTACGGTATTAAAAAAAACATTGTTTCATGACAAAAAGAGATGTTAAATTGAGAGTGAAAGAGCCAGCAAAAAAAAATTGAAAATCCGTTCCCCATATTTAAAAAAGGTAAGGGGAACGCGAACAGTGTTAAGCAGTCTAAATACACGACCTAATAAACAAAATAATAATCTACCAAATCAACAAAATTCACTTCTTCAACAGCACAATTATTAGATTTTCCTTGAACATATTTTCCTTTACTAGCAAGTTCTCTACGTTTATTTTGAATCATTGTTTGAATTTCCAAAACCTTTTCAGGTTGTCGTCCTTTTGTTGTTTCAATATACATTCCTTTTAATATGCATTTATCGAAACGGCAACTTTTGCAGACATTTATATCTTTAATTAGTTATTTTAGATAATATTCAGTTTACTTATTAAACGGAAAAAATTTATATATGGCCCGAAAAATTTATTTATGGTCGTTTCAGATATAATACAGATATCCTAAAATATTCTCAATACTGTCTCCACAGTCTAAAATACGAAAATCATTAACATTCCTTCACCCAATACACCTAAATCCATTAATTATTATAAAAATATTATTACTATATGACAAATTACAGCTCTCATCTTTTTCACATTTATATTTGTTTTTTAAGTAATACAACGGTGAAAAAAGTGTTTACAGCCTGAAAACAATATCTACATTAATCCAAACTTCAAACATTTAAATCTACCATCACAACAAATCACTCCATAAAAGAAATATCCACTAGCCATACGTTCACAGATACTACATTCTTTTGGAGTTGGGTTGAGGTTGCGTTTAGTTTTTGTTTGTTTTTGAAATTTTAAATTTGCACGTCTATCCTCTTCAACTTGTTGATTCTCAACTCTAATTTCTTCGTTATTCTTTCCAATATCCCCATTTTCTATTATTTCATTTTTTGTTTCATTGTTAAAATTTGTAAATGACATTTGGGTAGATTGAAATTGAATTTGGTAATAAATTAAATTTAATGTCCTGCTCAAACATTTTAATTAAATTTTAAATTTATTTAATAAACATACAGTTGCCTAGCATTTGACGCTTACCTAGGCAGGAATTATGAAAGGGGAGAGAGGGCCTTTTCTCCTCAATAGGGTTGTTGGCAGTGCTGGGTATTTGCCATTTGTTGGCTCCGGCTCCGGGCTCCGGGGTATGAAAATCTTGGCTCCGGCTCCGGCTCCGGGCTCCGGGGTTTCAAAATCTTGGCTCCGGCTCCGGCTCCGGGCTCCGACCTTTTAAAATTTTGGCTCCGGCTCCAGCTCTGGCTCCGGAGCCGGCGATTTTAGGAGCCGCTCCATGTTGGCTCCGGGCTCCGGCTGGAAAATCAATTAATTATTTTTCATTGGGGGATTTGGGTATATAAAGGGGGATGTCGAGTGATATCAGAGGATTAAGAGGAGTATCAATGGATTAAGTGGGATTTGGGTGGATTATCGTGTGCATTAAGGGCGATATCGAGGAATTAAGCTGGATTAAGGGGATTTGGGTTGTCTGGGAGTTGGGCGAATAGGAGATGTTGGATTTATCCTCTCATTATCTCGCTTTTTGCGCCGCAGGCGAAAATTTTGAGAATTTTGGAAGATCCTTAAGCCAAAAATCTTCCTTTTTTGCGCCGCAGGCGAAAATTTTGAAAAATTTGACTCACAGGAGACTAAAATTAATCAATTTAAAAAATTTATCCAGCTTTATTTATTTAAAAAATGCTTATTATAATTTATTTTCCAAAGAATAACGATTATTTAATCATTTTTTGTAATATTTTTCGAACCTATAACCGGATAAAATCGGAACCTAACTCACTATCCATTCAACCACAACTACTTTATAAAGGAAAGAAAAGAAAATCTTTTTTACCCGTCTCAATTTTCCCTTCCTTTTCTTTTCCCGCCTACCATCTTTGCTTACTTCTTTTTCTCTAGCCCATCTTTAGGGGTGTATAGCCGGAGCCGTGGGGAATTGGAAAACCTTGGCTCCGGCTCCGGCTCCGGGCTCCGGGGTTTGAAATTCTTGGCTCCGGCTCCAGCTCCGGCTCCGGGGTTTTCAAAATCTTAGCTCCGGCTCCGGCTCCGCCGGAGCCGGGCTCCGGAGCTAGCTCCCGGAGCCATACCCAGCACTGGTTGTTGGTTCAGAATTGAATCAAGCCAAAGAAATGGGTATTTTTCGGAAAGATTCCGGGTATCCGATGATTTTCTAAGAAACTACAACTCTATTTTCAAACAAGAAAGTTCCAGAATTAGATTCTACTCCGATTGCGTAAATCCTAATTTATCGGAAATATCTTAATAGATATTTTAATTTACTTTAGCACATCTATTAAAAGCTGATTAATGATATCCTTTTTAAAATAAGCATTCAGAGCTTATTTTAGGACAATAAAAAATTCATAACAAAAATTATATACTAAAGCTAAATCTTAAACGTTAATTTTTTGGAATAAAGGAAATAATTTATTTAACAAATTTTTTAATTAAAAAATAGAAATTTTAAATCGATTTTAACTAAAAATAATATAAAATCATTAAAATAAAATAGTTAAATGTTTGTTCATCTTGTCAGATTTATGCTTTACGAAAAAATTTAATAAAAGACATTAAATACTTTTGTGTATACAATAACGGAAAACTATTAAAAAATATTTTCCATCCTTTAAGTATTGCTTTAAATTTTTGGCTCATTCGAAGAAACTTCAAAGTTTGTAAAATATGTATAAGGAAAAACCTGGGAATTTTTAAGGTTGTATTTAGGCAAGTATAGTCTGACACCCTACATCGAAGAACTTTAATTTTTTCGTTGATCACTCCACTAATAATTATTCACCCCAATATCAACTCCTATATATTGAAGCTTAAACTGGTTAGATATTAAGTGGAACAGGGGTTGCGGGAAGAGAGATGTCATCCTTCTCCTCTTCGAGATTATCGGGTAAGTGAATCTCGAAGGGTAGGTGGATGGAAAACCTCTGGGAAACCATTGGTCTAAACAAATGATTTTGGAATAAAGGAAATTATTTATTGCACAAATTTTTTAAGTGAAAAATATCAATGTAAAATTTTATATGGATTCTAAATAAAACTAAATATAAAATCATTAAAATAAAATAAATTAAATTAAAATGTTTGTACATCTTGCCAGATTTATGCTTTACGAAAAAATTTAATAAAAGAGAGAATCCCTTATTTCATTATTTGTTTACCTTTCTTCCTCTTACTTATTCAGAATAAAGCTTAATAAAAGCTTTGATTTTCATTGGTAAAACTCCGTTTGGGTCTGGCTTTAATGTGTCTGTTGTTAATGTCAGCCCCAATAATTAATATTTTAAAAATATTTAAATTAAAAATTAAAGCAATTAAGTGAGTAAAACTAAAAATCCTTCTTAATTTATTATCATAAAATACTACCAGGGATGACAGGCTAAATAAAATTAATCACAAGCTATAAAATTAAATAATTTCAAAATTTAAGCAAGGGAAAGATTAATTCTCGAAAATTAATTTAAAATAAAATTTTTCTCGAGAAGCTAGACAGAAAATTCGAGACCTCCTAAATAAATATTAAAAATGCTTTAACTCTTTTGCTTATTAAGTAATCCTCGTTTAAACTCATTTTGAATACACGGCTCTAAATGGGATCCTTTGAAATTATTATATGTATCTCTGAAGGTTTGGTGTCATCTATGCATATAAGTGTGAGATATGATATCTTAAACATCTTATAGACTGTCTTACAAAAATATACATTCAAAAGTCGAAAAATGACAAAAGTTACTGTCCCCATACAAACTCCTTTCAGTACTGGGTATAGCTCCGAGAACTAGCTCCCATATCCCTTTATTTTCCTCTGAGATTACACATGTATGTATTTATGTATGAATTAAAGACATTTTTTGAATTGAACTTTTTAAGAGAGAAACAAGATTCTCCCCGCATCAGTCTCGTTACTCTAAAATTCCTCGTTAATAAATTCTCTCTCGAGCAATCATTTTGGGGCATTATTTCTTACATATAATTTAATGGCTCTTAATTGATTTATTTTCAAGATTTAAAAGTGGATAAGCCTTAAGGGATCATTTTGGTTTAACTCTCTCCTTTTTAAAATGAATTAACCGAGCCAATTTGATTTTATTAAATCAAATAAAGAAATTAAATCAAATAAGAATATTACAAAGCGAACAAGATAAAAGACAGAGGGGGGTCGCAACAAGGTATCGGAAATCGGAAGAGCCGGAAATGGAAACTGGCTCAAAAGTCGGAACTCAGAACTCAAAGGAAATAACATCAAAAATCTGAATTCCGAACCATATAAGAAACAAATAAAAAGAAATTCCCTAAGGAAAGAAGTTCTTCGTGTTTTTTTTTCTTGCATTGATTAAATCAACTTTTAAATATACATAATTATTTAAATATTAAAGAAGAAAATAAAAATATAGTAACGGATTTTATCGAAATTTAGAAGATATAATGAAAAAACGCATACATTCCTATGAAAGGAATTACATGTGGCCTTACCATACTGACTTAAGTCAGTCGGCCATACTGACTTAAGAAAGACAAGCTAAATATATTTATGTTTTGCACCTAAGACAAAGATCAACAAGTGCCTCAGGCATCGATTTATGGAAATAATCTCGATCTGTTACATATGCCAGATAATTTAGTAAAAGGCAATGATTGTTTCCACAGTTGAAGCAAAATTCAACTAAATGAAACAATTCTGCATATCTTCTAGCACCCAGGAATGGTCCATAGCGATTCTGAAATATGCAGAATATTTTAATAATATACTTAAATGCCGATTAAAATTTATTTACAAGGATTTCGTAGAACAAAAAAATTTCCGAAAAATTCAATGGCCGTGCCTTGATCCCAAATATGATTTTTAAGGATCTCAACTAAAATCTAGCTTCTATGGGTAAAATTAATTCAATTTTGAGTTTGAATTCTCGACTAAAAATCGGCTTGTCTCTCTCCCATTCTTAAATTATTGCTGTTAAACATAAAAGAAAGCTTTGTTTTTAATTGCTGAATTCGGCGTTCCAAGAGTGTTTGGCCACTCGGGCCCAACATCGACTAGCACCCAATAAAGGGAGACAATTATATGTATTTTAGTAAAAAATTTAAACACCTGTAACATTTTCATCAATATATCACAATATTTCTCTGCCTCATTTAGTAATAATTGTCGGCCATACTGACTTAGACCAGATGAGACAAAATGTGAAGAAATTATTGCGCGAAGGAGAATAAATTCTTCGTTGTTTAGTTGTAACCGATTAAAGAGCACCATAGAATCGTCAAGTAATTTCTTGACACTGTTGCTTACTCTAAAAAATGCGAGGTTAAAATACATGCATCAAAAATTATAATTTACGTTAAGTCTCCCTTGTAAATATCTCCCTTAAAAACATTCTGCACTTGAAGTTCATTCCTTAACATAACAGTTTCAGATTTTTTTCTACTTGAATAATAGGCAGAATTAAATGTTATGAGCGGCAGAGCGATTGTTGTGATTAGGCAAATCTTTATAAAATTTAAATACAATATAAACTTTCTTTACTTTTAAGTAATTCGACTCTCTATAGAGTCAACGTTTCAGTAATCCATCCACATCCAATATCTAAGACATACCTCATATAAGATACGATTTTTTGGATGCACAACATTGATGGGACTTTTATGTTATTTTTACATTTGGTAGTCATTCAGGGGGATTTATAGTTCTGGGGCGTTATTTAAAAAGGTAACCACCCCTCAGTTACGTGTTAGCGACATCGCCGACACTACCCTTCTCATTTTTTTCATTTCTCCCTATTTTGAAGAAAAATCATTTATTTTAATTAGATTTAGAAATTTTATTTTTTGCCAAAATATATGTAGATTGGTGTGTTAACTATAGAGTATCCGTCGTAATTCAGAGGCTTTATAGCCCTGATCGACAAATTTAATCACCTTGTCGGCCAAATCCAATTTATCAAAAAAAAAGCATAGTTCTTGCAGTATCAACAATTATAAGTAAAAGATCCGTGAATGGTTTTGGTTTAACAGAGAAGGCACCCTTGTGTGGATTGAAAACAGGTCCATTTTGCTTTCCAATCTTTAAAAAAAATTTTTTTGTCCTATTTTTAATTCCAAACCACATATTCGGGTTTCATTGCAATTAAATTTTCTTTACGCGTAAGTAATGTAGCAAGAGAATTGAAGGAATAATTGTAATGAAAATCTTTGATTCCTATAGGGGAATCGCTAATACGACAAGCATGTTGCTCTATTGTGAGTAAATAGTCAAGTAATTGTGTATTTTGTCTAGCGATTAATGATTTTTGCTGAAATATTTTTTTATAAAAATTGGTAATTAACAAAATAGTTATCTTCGAAATACCTCGTTCTATCCTTATTTTTGACCTAAATTTTAGCTTAAGAAAAGAGACAAAAATCTAAAATTTTTTGTGATTTTCCGATGCCTAGTTGATGAAGGCAAAAATTTTGAAAATCTAATATGCCGGAGGGACAGAAAAATCCAAATATTTGTAGTTCATCGTAATCGTACTTCGTACTAGAATTTTGGTACGAAGTCCCTCTCTTTTGCTCCGCTGGCTTAAATTTTGAGAATTTCTAAAGGCCAAGTAGGAAAACCCAAGTTACTGAAGGCCAAATTCTTCACTATATCTTAGATCCCTTGAAATATCCGGATATCACTAAAATCCACCCAACTCCATTCAAATCCTCGATATAACATAAGTCTTCATTTTCAGAACTACAATCGAAAATTTTGAGAAATTTAGAAGGTAAAGGAGCAAAATTTCTTCCTTTTTCCCAAAATTCCTTCCTTCCTTTTTGCGCCGTAGATAGATACTCGGTTTTAACCGATCAGTCGAGTAAGAAGTTTCCGAGTACGAGTAATGCCGAGTATTAGGATCCCGAGTTCCGAGCCCGAGTAAAGACAAAAAACCCGAGTCGAGCGAGTTCGAGTCCGAGTCGCTCGACTCGGATGTACTCTACTTTGAATTAAAGAGGAATAAAATTTATACGTGAACCCCCTAAAAAATAATAATCTACCAAATCAACAAAATTGACTTCTTCACCAGCACAATTATTAGATTTTCCTTGTACATATTTTCCTTTACTAGCAAGTTCTCTACGTTTATTTTGAAGCATTGTTTGTATTTCCAAAATCTCTTCAGGTTGCCTCCCTTTTGTTGTTTGAATATACATTCCTTTTAATATGCATTTATCGAAACGGCAACTTTTGCAGACATTTATATCTTTAATTAGTTATTTTAAGATAATATTATATTTTTGGTTCGAATATTCGGGGATTTTCCGAAATCCGCCTAATTCAGGTGAGCTATCGAGTGACCATGGAACATGGGCTATTTCTATGATTAGTCATTGAAAGCACTTAATCATCAGGCATGATCCAAATAGGAAAGGCGTATAATACTAACAAATACAGTAAATTTCCTAAAATAGTCATCCATATTTTTCTCTATACTGCTAAAATACTCGAGATGGTACATCCCATTCCCCTTGTTAGTAATGTGGTGCAAATATAAGTGCAAATTTTACTATGAGACAAATTACAGTTCCCATCTTTTTCACATTTATATTTGTTTTTTGAAGTAATACAACGATTGAAAAATTGTTTACAGCCTGTAAGACAATATTTAAATTTCAAATATAAACATTTAAATTTATACCATCACAACAAATTACTCCATAAAAGAGATATCCTCTAGCTGCTATACGTTCACAGATACTACACTCTGTTGGAATTGGGTTGAGGTTGCGTTTAGGCTTTGTTGACTGTTTTCGATTTTTTAAATTTTTATTTTCCTCAATCATTTGATTCTCAACTCTAATTTTTTCGTTATTCCCTCCAATATCATTTGAATCTTCCAAATTTCGAAGGCCCTCATTTTCCATTAGTTCATTGAATGTTTCATTGTTATAATTTGTTGATGACATATTAAAATTCAATTTAGTTAAATTAAATTTAAGGTCCTAAAAGACAATTCGAATTAAAAGAGATAGAGAAAGACCTTTCTCACCTTTCTCTCTTTAATAGAGTTGTTGGTTCAAAACCGAACCGAATGAGTTCCTGATATCAAAGATTTTCCAGACTACTCTCAAACGAGAAAGATCCCTGACTCGATTCCATCTCGTTTGCTAAACTTTTGCTTAAATCTTAATTTGTTGTATATGTCCTGTAGTTATAGAAGCCCATTAGTGATATTATTTTAGAAAGTAAACGTACAGACTTCTTTTAGGACATTTACCTATTTAGGGTGTTACATACATAAGTTCTGTCCATTTACCATTTTATATCTCAGAAATTTTAAAATTTTTAAAAGAACGCTGAAACATGTCAAACGAAATACGAATTAAGCTTTTGAATGGTATATAGAACATCCATATCCATTAAGTATTCATCGAAAAACATGCTAAACCGACAGAACCTTTGTAACACCCTAATTACCTCATATAAAATTAGAAACCTGGACTGAAAGTTTTTTAAGGAAATAAATTAAATATTTCTTTTAAAATATTTTTATATATTAATGTGGAATTTTAAATTGATTTAAAAAATAAAAATGCTTTAAATTATTAAATAAAATATTTAAATGTTTGCACATCCTGCCAGATTTATGCTTTACGAAAAAATTAATTTAATAAAAGAGAATAGATACGTAAGGTTGCGGAATACTAAAAAATATTTCCAATCCATATATTTAAAAATTAAACCAAGAAATTTAATGAAATAATTTTTAAAGAATTACTGTAATATCTTGTAATCTTTGCTATCTCACCATACACCGAAAAAAAATAAAAATAAAAAGAATAAATTTTATAATTCAAAAAAATATTTTATAAACGTTCATAAATTTAGTTTGGCCAAAAGATGTTGGAAGGTTGAAAAATAAGTAAAGAGGTACTCCCGTATATAGACCCCCCCTAAAATAAGCTCCCTCCCCAATAAAATTTTTAATTGTTGATTAATTGTTGTGTCCCCTCAGTTGAGTCCCCATGGAGGGATATAGAAGGATTAGAAGTGATCAAGGGTTTAAAAAAATTATAGAGGAGGGTTGAAAAATAGTACTTCCGTATGTACTATTTTAGTAAATAGGTATAATTTAAAATGGGTAATAGAAAAATAATGATTAGGTAATTAGAACAAATAAATAAAAAGAAATCCCGAAGGAAAGGAAGTTCTTCGTGGTCTCACCACAAGAGAAACAACATAGATCTAATTTCAAGTTTTGCAACCAAGACAGAGATCAACAAGTGCCTCAGGCATCGATTTATGGAAAGAATCCGGATCTGTTACATAAGCCATATAATTTAGCAAAAGGCTGTGATTGTTTCCACAGTTGAAGCAAAATTCAATTAAATGAAGTAATTCTGCATATCTTTTAGCTCCCGCAAATGGTCCATAGTGATTCTAAAATAGAATATTTTACTAGGAAGTGCTTTTAATTTTATGACAGAGTGTACCCTCTATATCCATTTTCATCTCTTTTCAACGCAGGCGAAATTTTTTAGAATTTTATAAACAATTTAAAACACCTGTAACATTTTCATCAATATATCAGAATATTTCTCTGCCTCAGTTAGTAATAATTGTCGGCCATACTGACTTAAATCAGATGAGATAAAATTTGATGAAATTATAGCGCGAAGGAGAACAAATTCTTCTTTGCTGAGTTGCAGTCGATTGAATGGTCCCATAGAATCGTCAAATAATTTTTTTACAAATTTCTTTATCCTAATTCAAAATGAAGGATTAATTAAAGTAAAGCAGCTGGGCTATAGCTATTTCTCTCCTTTAGCTAATGCGAAAGGTTATTCGGCGGCTGGTTGCAAATCAGCATCTTCAGTAGACCAGGCGATGTGTATGGGCCCTGGGTTAGAGAATGGAAATTCCGCCAGAGAAGGCGATGATTTAGTTTACCGCGCATGTGATAAGAAGACTAGGGACAGTCTTCCCTGGGGGAGGAGGTGTAAAGCATATAGCTATTTAATTCCTAAGGCTATGCAGAGGCGGCGTGGTGTAATGGCTAACAGTCCGGTATACTGAAGACTGGTTCGCTCCCAGCCGCCGATTAACCTTTTGCAATAGCTAAAGGAGAGAAATAGCTATAGCCCAGCTGCTTTACATTAAAAATCATATAAATTTACGTCACGTCTTCTTTGTAAATTTTATTTGCTTTGAAAATATTCCGAACTGGCAATTCATTCGGCATAACAACAGTTTCAGATTTTTTTAAACTTGAATAATAGGCAGCATGAAATGTTTTAAGCGGCAGAGTGATTGTTTTGATTAAACAAATCTTTATAAAATTTAAATATTGAAGAGATTCTATCGCCCTGATCGACAACCTTGTCGGCCAAATCCAATTTATCAAAAAAAGGCATAGTTCTTACAGTATCAACTATCATAAGCAAAAAATAAATTAAAGGCTTTTGTCGACTAGAAAAGACACCCTTGTTTGGATTGAAAACAGGTGCTAGAAAATTTTGCTTTCCAATCTTTAAAAAACGAAAATTTTTGTCCTATTTTTAAGTCCAAACCACATATTCGGGTTTCATTGCAATTAAATTTTCTTTACGCGTAAGTAATGTAGCAAGAGAATTTAACGAAGAATTGTATTGAAAATCTCCAATTTCTATGGGGGAATCTCTAAGACGACAAGCATGTTGCTCTATTGTGAGTAAATAGTCGATTAACAGTGTATTTTGTCTAGCGATTAGTGATTTTTGCTAAAATATTTTCATAAGAATTCGTAATTAAAAGTTATTGACCTCAAAAGATGGGATGTTAGACATTGATTTAGATGGTTACATTATTAAAATACCGTGTTTTCTCTAAAATAGCCCCCCTAAAATATCCCTCTCTAAAGTTGCCCCCCCCCCCATAAAATATTAAACTGTTTTTGCCATTTTTTCAAAGCACAGCACTGTTTATTCCCTATATTTCAATATGATTAGAAATGATTATGGGGGATATCGGGGATTTGGAGGGATATAAAGGGATTATGATTGATTAAGGGATAGCGGTGCCATGATAAGCATCTTAATCCAATCCCTTTTAATATTATTAATCTTTAGGGACTTAGCTGAAGTATATACAAGTGGGATTATAAGCTAAAATAAATTCTTAATTAAGTATCTCGAACCTTAATCGAGGTCTAGGATGGTTCTATCGACTGAGGAGTGGAAGTTTTTGGGCTGTGATTTTTGTTAAGAGACTTTTAGATTGTGATGAATTCAATTAAATTTTAGCAAAATATTATTCAAAATTTGGTAAAAAAATTTTAATTTTTAAAAAATTTAGACATCAAATAAATTACCTCCCCCCAAATAGCAATCATCTAAAGGCCGTCGAAAAAAATAACCCCCGGGGGCTATTTTAGAGAAAATACGGTAATTATCGTTTCAATCTAAATGGAGGCTAGGAGAAAAGAGGAAGCTAGTGCTAGGCAAAACAAAATTTATACCCCCTACAAAATAATAATCTACCAAATCAACAAAATTTGTTTCTTCACCAGCACAATTATTAGATTTTCCTTGAACATATTTTCCTTTACTAGCAAGTTCTCTACGTTTATTTTGAATCATTGTTTGTATTTCCAAAACCTTTTCGGGTTGCCTTCCTTTTGTTGTTTGAATATACATTCCTTTTAATATGCATTTATCAAAACGGCAACTTTTGCAGACATTAATATCTTTAATTAGTTTTTTAGATTATATTTCCAGTAACCGCCTAACTCAGGTGTGCTATCGAGTGACCATGGAACATGGGCTATTTCTATGATTAGTCATTGAAAAGCACTTACCGTATTTACTCGATTAATTCCCCCGAGGAATTATTTTTTCAACCTATCCACGGGATGGGGAATTAATAGAGGGTGGGGAATTATTTGAGAGTTGGGAATTAATCGAGTAAATACGGTAATTATCATCATAATCCAAATAACAAAGGTTATATAACAAGTAAAGTAAATTTCCTATAATAGTCATCCATATTTTTCTCTATACTGTTAAAATATTCGAGATGGCGCTTATAAAGTAACGAATCTGGCTTCTTGGTTTTCGAAAGCTATTAATTAGTATAAAAAATTACTATTCGACAAATTACAGTTCCCATCTTTTTCACATTTATATTTGCTTTTTGAAGTAATACAACGATTGAAAAAGTGTTTACAGCCTGTAAAACAATATTTATATTAATTCAAACTTCAAACATTTAAATTTACCATCACAACAAATTACTCCATAAAAGAGATATCCACTAGCTATACGTTCACATATAATACACTCTGCTGGACATGGGTTGAAGTTGCGTTTAGTTTTTGTTGCCACTTTTCGAATTTTTAAATTTGTCTTTGTATCCTCTTCAACTTCTTGATTCTCGACTTTAATTTCCTCGTTATTTTTTTCAATATCAATTCCATCTTCTAAATTTTTATGGTCCTCATTTTCTCTTATTTCTTCTAATTTTTCACTGTTAGAATTTATTGATGACATATTAAAATTTAATTTTGTTAAATTAAAATTAAGTTCCTGCTCAAACAATTTGAATTAAGTCTTGAATTAAAAGGGAAAGAAACTTTCTCTCTTTAATAGAGTTGGTGGTTCGGGACCAAACCGAACTGATGAACCGGGAATTTTGGAATCGGTTCCAGATATCGAAGATTTTCCAAGAGCCGCTCCCAAATTAGAAAGATCGCTGATTCGATTACATGTCGATTGCTAAACTTTTGCTTAAATCTTAATTTATCGGATGTGTCATAGTAGCTATCACAATTTAATTAAGGACACTTATTTAAAATTAAAAACCTTTATGAAATAAATTAAATATCTCTTTTTAAATATTTTTAGATATTAATGTGAAATTTTGAATTAAATTAATTTAAAAATGCTTTAAAATTATTAAAATAAAATATTTAAATGTTTGCACATCCTGTCAGATTTATGCTTTATAGAAAAAATAATTTAGTAATAAAGAGGGATGAATACGTAAGCTAGCGGAATACTATGTAAAATATATTTCCAATCCATATACCTATTATACTGAGAATATTTAATGCTATATATCTCTGCGTAAGCTAAAAAAATAAAAAGTAAAAAGAAAATTGTTTCTCAAATTTGTTTCTCAAATTTACCCATTAAATTCTAAAAATGCCTAATTTTTGAGATTTATCAATTAAAATCAGAAAAATGCTTTAGAGTTGTCGTTTTAAAAGCTTTTGCTTTCCACTTATTATATAGTATAAGTCTTGAGTTAAGGTTTTAAGACTAAGAGCTACATACTTATATTGTGGTATCCTTCTTTATCTTATGACTATTGCAGGAATTTCTGATATAAAAAATTCAGAAATTGCTGCAAATCGTAAACTTCCACCGTTTTTCTCCGATTTCCGAATCTGAAATTAATTTTTCTTTGTCGGCTAGATCCTTGGTTAATTCAAAAAATTAAAATTATCTAAATATTATTTTCTAAAATATTTTATTTAAAATATTTATTTATTAAAATATTTAAAAATTAAATTTAATAATATTTTATTTAGAATTTTCATCTTTCATTAATTCAGTAAAATCTTTCTTTCCAAAATTTGTAATAGAATCAGAAAACAAAGAAAATGCCGATCGAATGGAATTTTTAGTAGCTCGAATTGCTTAATTAATCATTTTTTAACTTGATAAAATATTTATTTTTTAGCTACTTTTATTTGTATTCAATTCTATTGTACAAAGCTTCCTTGCCCTTGGAATAGGCAAAGGAATAAAACAGCCAACAAATGCCCTTAAATAAAAAATTTAAATTTTAAGTTGGCAAAATATTTTGTAAAGGGTGTACCGTATTTACTCGATTAATTCCTCTCCCTCACAGAGAGAGGGAGAGGTCAGATAATTCCCCTCTCTCGAATAATTCCCCCTGCTACGGATGAGTTGAAACAATAATCCCCCTCCACCAACTACCCTACTACACGTTCAAATTTCAAAACTCGAATAATTCCCCTCTCTTGAATAATTCCCCATGCCACTGATGGGTTGAAAAAATAATTTCCCAGGGGAATTAATCGAGTAAATACTGTATGTATCTATTACTTGAAGCATTTACATAAACCAATTCCACATTCATTTGCATGAGAACAACGTTCATAAAAAGTTGAACAAGTATCATTGTCAAAATAGTAATAATCGGCTGATGAAATTCTATCACATATCCCTTTCATATAAAAAGGGAGAATACATTTTTCCATGTCAGCACAACATCTATATAAAGATTAAATATTAAATTTTATAAATATCTGCTGCCTATTGCTTAAGCAAATAAACAATTTGCATTTTCACATATAAATATTATACATATAAAGTTGATCTGTTCTTAGTAACCCATCCAATTCTCATTGGATGGGAATTTATAGTTATTCAAGTCAACAAATAATAAAATAATTATTAAAAATTAAAAAAAATAACGTGTCAATTTCGTCTACAGGTACAGCGTGAGAACCTATTCCTCCAGTGCAACTAAACGTAATGGGAACTTTTATTGAATTATACTGCAAACAAATAATTTTTTAATAATTTTAATTTCATTTAAGTATGGCATGATTGAATGGATTATCCAAAATTATTTGAATTTTCCAAAAGAAAACTCAAACAACTTATAGCAGATACACCCAATACTAGATATACCTTGTTTAAAATTTATTTGGTCACAGCTCTAAAAATGCCGAATAATTGCATTATTAAAGGGATTATTACAGAATATAATTAGGTATTATAATTATTCATCACTAAAGGATTATCACTGGTGTTATTAAAATCTAGGTCTGACTGTTTTAATTTAAAAAAATATCAAGTTTATCCAACATACTGGCATCCATAATGATCATATGTCCCTCCATTACTTATTTGTTTTTGACATTCATCTGCTGAGGGTATTAAATCTGCCATTATTTTGATCCAAAAAATGAACAGAAAAATAAATATTAAAAATATTTTAAATTTTTGTTTAAACATTATTTTTATTTTTTAAAAATATTTTCTTCAAATAAAAAGGAAAAACGAAACTTCTATTTTAAAAACAAGTATTTAAAAATATTTTTTTCAAAAAATTGTTTATTATTACTACCTATAATAATATTAAATTTAATTATTTTATTACTTTTTTATCATTAAATTGCAAAAGGACATGTTTTATTTCTTTTATTTTGCAAATTCTTTCTCTATTTTAGACACAGAACTACAGAAAAAGAATTGAAACAGAAATTCTGTTGCTCTACGGAAAAAAATCCACAGATCCGCAGAAATTTATTTCAGCAGACTCTGTGGAATGTTTTTTAATTGTTTCCACAGATTCTGCGGTAACCGCAGATCTGTGTACTCAAAATTTAATTGAAACAGAATTTTCGCAAATTCTGTGTTCTGTGCACAGAACACAAAATCTGCGGACAATTGAAATAGGCCCTGATGTAAGAACAAAATCTTACTGTTGAGGGAGTATTTCGAATGGCACAGTCTCATTTCGGAAAGGATTCTTACGACAGAAGGAGGAATTAAATATAAATAGAAGTCTAAAAGATAAAATCTATAAATATTAAATTTCCAATTAATCATACATTCTCAAGCTTTTAGACTTTAACCCTATAATATTTTACCATATTTATTACTTTACATATACATTTCCGTCTCTTTTTATATTTTGCTCCCCGACCCTACCCTGAAACATTTCGAAACCCCCGTATCACGACACAATCTCCCCCAAGCGTTCGGGGTCCAACTCTAGAAGGAACTAAAGATTCTCTACAAAAAATGGACAAAATTGAAAGTACCGTATAACCTGTATTAATTGCCCTCCCTCAAATAATTACCCCACCTCTATTAGTTACTCCCTCTAGCGAGAGGTTGAAACAATAATTACCCTGCCTCAAATAATTACCCCCTATTTTTCCTCACTAATTTAAAAATATTTATTAAAAAAGGTACTATCACATTATCTCCCACCATGACCGTACATGTTTGGCAGAATTTTTTTACAATGCATGCCTTACCTTCTCCTCCTTTCTTTTTCTCCCTCCAAAAAGATTAAAAAACGGTCAAAAGATATAAACCTTAATCCTTTTTTATCTACAAAGCCTCTGATATATATTTTTACATATACTTACACCCCGAGAAATAGTTGCGATAGACTATGTGTCTTTATTTTATCCCGTTTTTAGGGTATATTAGGTTTTTAGGGTATATTTTTAGGGTATATTACCACTTTAGGGTATATTATAGACATTTATGTAAGATATCAGTGTCTTTATGTAAGATACAGTGTCTTTATATATCCTAAGTCGGAAGCATTGGTGCTATGGTACCATTTTGGGTACATTATATAGGAATATATTAAAGGAATATAGAATCAGTTCTAAAAAACGTTAACATTTACCTCCGCATTCGGTATCATATCGTATATCCCAGTTTCTGTCTATGATAGGATAAAATATGTAGAGGTCGAAATAATAATTACCCTCCCTCAAATAATTACCCCGCCTCTATTATTTACCCCCTCCAGCGGAAGGTCGAAACAATAATTACCCAGGGTAGTTATTAAAGGATATACGGTAATCCACTTTAAAGAAAATATTAAAGAAATGATAATTAATGTGCATAAAAATTAAATAAAAAAGACGCCTTGAGAAACAATAGAAGTTAGAATCGTGTATAATAATTTCCGTTTTTTGTGGATAGAATCTTCTTTATCCCTTTGTGATGTAAATATAATTTCAAGTTTTGCAATCAAGACAGAGATTAACAAGTGCTTCAGGCATTGAGTTATGGAAATAACCCCTATCGGTTACATAAGCTATATAATTTAGAAAAAGGCAGTGATCATTTCCACGGTTGAAGCAAAATTCAACTAAATGAAGCAATTCTGCATATCTTTTAGCACCCGGAAATTGTCCATAGTGATTCTGTAATAAAATATTTTAAAAAATTAAACTCAGAGTCAAGATTTATTAATAAGAATTGGGATAAATTATTTTGAAAAAAACTAGTCTCAGCTCCTTTGAAACTTATATTTTTATTAAGTTAGAGTTCGGAAAATGAAAAAATCGGATTTAAAATACTGACAAGAGTACATACAACACCAAGCACTGGTGATTTTAGCCCATTGTTAAATGGCTCTGTTCTTATACTTTTGTTTTGATAAACATTTATTTTCAATCAGTCCCATAAATGTCAGAAACTTCAAGATCCACCAAGTTTTTTAAAGGAATAAGTTAAAACACCTGTAACATTTTCATCAATATATCAGAATATTTCTCTGCCTCAGTTAGTAATAATTCTCGGCCATGTCGACTTAAATCACCCAAGGCAAACTGAGTAAAAATTATAGCGCGAAGAAGAACAAATTCTTCGTTGTTTAGTTGAATTCTATTAAATGGCACCAAGGAATCGTCAAATAATTTTTTGAGAAATTTGTTTATCCTAATTCAAAATGAAAGTCAATACAAAAAATAAAATTTACGTCATGTCTTCTTTGTAAATATTTGAACAGAAA